CGCACGCTCAACGACTCCGAGCAAAATTATTCGACAATAGAAAAAGAGTGTTTATGCCTTGTTTGGGCTACTAAATATTTTAGGCCTTACTTGTACGGCCGAAAATTCAACATCATGACATATCACAAACCACTACAATGGCTTTTTTCTATAAAAGATCCAGGTGGTAAGCTTCTGCGCTGGCGAATTAAGCTAGAAGAATTTGATTATAAAATATTGTACAAAAAAGGAAAAGCCAACACAAATGCCGACGCATTATCGCGCATTGAAATACATGTTTAGGAAGGTCAGGATTTCTCGCTCAAAGAATATAATGAAGACTTTAACAAACAGCTAGAACAAGAAGCCTCGGACAACAACCCCTCAACATCAAAGAAAGTCGTAGAATATAATCTAGACCAAGCGTCTATTATAGCGCAACCCGACACCAAGCCTCCTGATATGCCCGACATGCAAGACGACGATAACAATACGATACATACAAATAATGAACAAGACCCAATTATTGGATCCCCATATTAGACAGAGCATTAAATTATGGCGCCAATCAAATCATCATTTTACAAGTGCTACATTCACCAACAAAACGAAAATTTACCATTCTTTTCGAAAAGAAACGCCAAATTACTGTCCAACTTAGTAAAAATGATTTTGAAGCAGATATATTAAGATTTATTAAGGAAAACGTAGTTCCCGGTAAACTTTACTATTTATATTTTAAAGAGCAAGGCGTTTGCGAACCATTCTGCGAAGTGGTAAGAAAATATTTCAGATGGCCGTCTTTGCATTTCAAACGATGCTTGAAAAGACTAGTTGATGTGACCAATAAAAACGACATTACCGAAATTATCCAAAATTATCATGAAGGCAAAAGCAACCACACAGGCATAGAAGAAACGTTAGAAAAAATCAAAAGCATAAATATTATTGGCCAAACTTCAAAAATTCTATTCAAACCTATATTAATCAATGCGAAATCTGTACTAGGAATAAGTACGAACGACACCCAATTAATATAGAGATGAATATCGCACCCACAGCAATCAAACCTTTTGAAATAATACACCTTGACACATATACTTTGGAGCAGACAAAATTTTTAACAATTTTAGATAGTTTTTCAAAGTACGCCCAAGCCTGTGTCCTAAAATCTTTGGCAGCAACTGAGATAGCCGACAGTCTCATTTCCCTCTTTTCACACCACGGTGTTCCGAAACAAATTATCTTGGATAACGGAACCGAATTTAAGAACACCGTCGTTACGGAACTTTTACAATTACGTAAAGTTAAAATTCACTTTATTTCGCCCAATCACCCACAATCAAACGGTGCAATTGAACGTTTCCATTCAACAATTGCCGAACATGTTAGATTAATAAATGCCCAAAATTTCAATAATTCCACTATTACCCAAAAAATGACCTATGCTATATTAGCATATAATAATTCCATCCACTCAGTAACGAAACTAAAACCAATTGACATAATCAATGGTCACACTAGCTCCGAAGACCCCTTCGATCTAAATTTAGATCAATTATTATTGTCTGATTATATAAGTGAACATAAGGACTGATCTAAACTACTTTACTCCAAAATTAACGAAAAGTTTATTCAAAACTAAGAATCAGTAATTACAAAAATCATCGAGAATCGCGATAGCCCAGAGCTGTTTGAATCCGGACAGGTCATACATATCAAAAAACACACTCGTCAGAAACTTGGCGAAAAATTCTCAAAACCTGTGAAAATTACTGCGGTCAACAAAACTCGCAAAACCGTGCCAACAAACGCTCACGGCAAAATTCACATGGATAATATAGAAAGGCCACTTGAGAAAACATATGGTTTCGACTAGGCTAGTTTTACCTCTTAGAATTAGAGTAAGCATAATTAGGTATACTATTTCTTTTAACGCTAAAACTTATTTTATAATATTTTAATAATTAAGTTGTATCTTGTGTTACATTTCAGAATGACTGTGGGATTCATCCCATTAAACGTCAGAGTCGGACTAATTGCAGATAAAATTACAATGAAAAAGTTAGACGACAATCCTGGTTTATTACCGGTCAAACTAGGAAATGTAAAAATTCACGATTACAACTATAATTTAATTCACTTTTATGACCTTAACCCGATAATCACTGAAATCAATAAATTACATTCAAAATCCCTAAATATAACGACGTCACTTGACACTAATTCAGAATATGGGCTAGAAGCCACGAATTACATGAAAATTCTTAAATTAACACAGGGTAGAGTTGAAAACAAAATTAAGGAAATAATTCCACACCCACAGAGAATTAAAAGAGGACTTATAAATATATTAGGTTCAAATTTCACAGCAGTCAGTGGCAATTTGGACGCTGCTGATGAAGAACGCTATGAACAATTAATTGATAATTTGCAAAATAATCAAAATAAGCTGGCAGAAAGTATTTTGAACCAAAATTCATTATCACTAAACGTAATTGCTAAATTTAATAACACAAGTTTGCAAACACGAAAAGCTGTTAGAGTCTAAAATAAAACAAATATCCTGGATTGTGCAAAAAGATACAATCAAAGAAAATGCTATTTTCATTAAAGACGTTTTAAATCAGATAATTAATCTTTATGAAATTATCGATTCTGTATTGCAGGATGTTGAAAATTCTATCACCTTTTGTAAACTTAAAGTAATGCATCCAAGCATTATAAAACCGGAGATCTTTCCTCAGACCTTAAAAACCTAGAAAAACGAGTCAGCTCGAGTCAATTACCTTTACAGATAGAATTAACTAACATACTTTCTTGGGATAAACTTATCGATATTGACTGTTTTATTTTGAATAATAAAATCACTTACTTATTGCATATTCCAATTGTTTTAAAACAAAGTTTCGAAATTTTTCATTTATATTCAGGCCCTATTTTATCCCAGAGTCGGTTTAAAGTTATTTTGCCGCGTAATAAATTTCTGATAAAAAACAAATTGCACTATACATACCAAGACCAGGGCTGTCAAGAAATCTCACCCCAACGCTGCATATGCGAAAAAGAAAACCTAAAGGAAATCCATGGAAGAAGCCCCTGTGCAGTACAGTTGTTATCAGCTCCAAGAGTCACTTCAACCTGTGATCAAATCCAAGTCCACATAAGCCAGCCGATAACCAATCAATTGTCCACTTCCAATAAATGGCTATTCGTCCTGCCCAGTGAAGAAATAATTAAATTTAAATGTTTTGCCCAACAAGAAGAAATCAAACTACGTGGAACCTACATCCTCGAAATTCCAAATGGTTGCCAAATTTCATTCAACGACCTCGTCATGGTCAATAACCAAAAGACGACCAATGAAAATATCCAGCCCATACTTTTCCCGGATCTGAGTGAAACTTCAAGTCTCATGCCAATTTTAAACCTGAGCTTCCACCTAGATAACCTGAAGCTTGACGAATTACAAGAAATAAAAAGCCAAATCATCACTAACCAACCCCACTTAGATCTCGACAAAGTTACCAAATTTCCATCAATTTGGACAATTTTAATATATCTTCTACTGATACTTGGCTGTGCCTTTATGTTTTACAGAAAATTCTGCCAAAAGCCCAGTCCACAAAGAAAACAAGAAGAAGAGGAAGCCCTGAAGCTTCAACCGATTCAACTACCCAGTTCGCAAACAAACCAAGAAGGAGAAGAAGTCCTGAAGCATCAACCGATTCAACTACCCTGACGGTACCTATAGTTGAATTTAGGGATGGAGGAGTTATGTCACCACCAAACAGCTAAACAAGCTGAGTCGACATGCTGACCCAGCATAATTTAATCTTATACAATAATTAGAATTGCATTGTTAGAGTTAGTCAGTATTTTTACGTGCTTTTGTATTAAACTTAAATAAATGTTTTTTAAAAACGAAGTTGGCCTATCGAGATAGTTAACTTGTGTCTCATCTAGAGTTACAAAGCAGACATACTTTTCTTTGCTACACTCACATATAGGCTACGCTTTGCTAATATGGGGTCATGCGAGTGGAGCACAAAGGGTTTTCTCCATGCAAAGAAGAGGTATTAGAATAGTAGCTGGTTTGGGTTATCGAGATGACTGCAAGCAGGCTTTCATTGACAACAGAATTTTGACATTGCTCTGTGACTATTGTAAACCTCCACATCCCCTGATGTCAACAGTAGCAAGAAAAAACACCAAAAGAAACGGATGAATCACAGGGGTTGATGCGCTCGGTTATGAAATACCTATGAATATAATTTTGTCAGAATAAAGCATTTCTTGAAGTAGGATCGGCTTGTTTTTTCTAATATATTTCCAAATTGCCCATGTGTTTTTATAGTATATCCTCCAAAATCTAGTTTATGTCAGGAGCCATTATTTATGTATAATAGTGATTTTCACAGCCATGACACTCGAAACAAAAATAACTTAAGACCCATCTACCATCGTTTGAGAGATGTCAGGGTGGACCCAGATACCATGCTGTAAAACTTTTCAACAAAATACCAGAGCCTGTAATACAACTAAACAATCCCCAATTCAAGAAAAAAATTAAATATTTTCTCATAAAAAAGGCGTTTTACAGTCTGGATGAATTTTATAATTCCACACTCAGCTGGACAGGCACAAAAATTATTTAAAACAAACAAATAAATTATAAATAAATTGTCCTTGTCTTGATAATTATTGTATTAGTAAGTGTGAGTGATAGTAAATTTGTAATTGTTGAATTTTTAAACATAACTTTTATATTTTTGTAAAACATATATTTTTTTTTTAATTAGGTAGTAGTAAGTCAGTAGTGAGTCATGTTAAATGGAGAGTTGATCAAATTTTTTATGAATTTGTAATTTTAGATGATTATATTTTGATTTTGACTTGTGTAAACACTTTACTGTGTATTTGAGCACCAATAAACGATTCTGATTCTCCATTTTGATGTAGTTCAGAATGTGAATAGATGACTTGGTAAATTAAATTTGAATCTATAGCGATCAACTCACCTGATTGATATTCATGCAAATTCCACGCAATATAGGTTTCCACAGTATTGAATCCTGCTGCTCTAAGTTTCCTTAATCTATCTCTCCAATAAGCTCTAGGAATTCTAAAATAGTGGATCGCTCCACTGTAAATCGTCATATTTTTGCCATTAAGGAGAAAGTAAGGTTGATCCGCTGACAATCCAGAAATAATTCCATCTGACGTGAAGTATTCATAATTGGTTGGTAAATCAGAATTAACTGCAAAGCTCAAACTTAGAGCTGAGAGAATTATTGTTGCTCGCAACATTCTCGGATTTGGACTCTCTAAATTGTAAGTACATTTTTTGGGCATTTATACAAATCGCTATCGAGAGTGCCACTTAAGGATAAGCAAATGTAAACAAAGTAATTGAAAATTAACGCTTTCAAGCTTTCAGTTAATTTTTTGTGTAACATCGAATAGGGAAATGGGGAAGTGAAGTGCCTCCTATCTGAAAATGTTTTCCTACAATTTTCATTCTGTAAAACTTTCAAATCTGAATTTTGGCAATGAGCGACTCAGCGCCTCTTCGGAAAGCGAGTGAGGCGGCGTGGGGATCCAGGCGTCGTTTAGGTAATCCGATGGCACCGGGCTACGCCTATATAATTGCTCCTGGTTTTCAATTAACGGCTCCTACAAATCAAACCGTTTTAGGACCGAGTCAAGCCGAAACGACGCCTTTATGTTCTTCAATCCGTTGAAATATGGTCTCGGAGAACTGCTGAATACAAAGAAAAGGTAATTGGACGGATAAAAATTATTGGGCTACAGTTTAGGGGTCGTTTTAGAGGGCCTAAAGATATATGATGGTAATATACGTCATAGCTGGTTATTTGAAAATTGTCCTATTTCCTAAAACCAAAACTCGATCTTTAGACATCAAAACAAAGCAATAATAAGCATTTGAAGTCCTGAACTTCTGAATGTAAGCCCAATAAAAACGGGAGACAAAAAGTCTATCATATCCATTCTTCCTAATATTTTATTAAAGCAAAAACAAAAGCCATATTAACGCGGGGAATCGACGTCACAGTAAACTTTTAAAACATCGAGACACAAAATTAGCCACAAATCATTAAAGTAGTGAAGTTTGCCCCGGGGCTTTATTACACAATGTGACTTTATCTATAAAGTTTGTGTATAAAATGAAGCATAATAATTACAGTATATCAGATATGCTAGGATTGGGTTCTATTATTGAGAAGCCAAGTAAAATATGATTGTAGACTGGAATACACGATTATTTTGTTTATTTTGAAACATGCTGGTATAAAATAGTGAAATTCGAAAACAAAAATGCAAGACTTTATTATCGGACTTCTGTACATGCACTCTAAAAAACATTCCTACTGATAATTGATTTCTAACTTGCAATTATACCTAATGTGACCATGGTCGGTTCTGCAATAGAAGCGGTCTGCCTCAACACTGATGATTTTTAAGAACTCACTTTCCAAACTACCATTAAATCTTAGGAATTTTATACACATAATTGGAGATTGAAGTTCTATCAAGAATAAACTAGTCGTGAAATTCAATCATTTTAAAAACAAATCGACGTTATTATAAAAACTACTTTATGTTATTAAAAACAGTGATATTCAATTTATCTAAAGTAGATATTTCCCTCATTGTATGTCAACCAATACAGTTTATTTACTATAATAGCACTTTTGAGATTTAATCTTTATTACCTAAAGGTTCCACTCCACCATTGTTCTGCTACCCTTTGCGTTTTCTAATACAAAAATACCCTGCAGATTTAATATTCATTTACAAATAAGCCAATCTACAAACAAAATTAAAACTTTCAATACTACATTTTTAACGGTGCAACTTTAAAAAAGTTTCTTGTATGAATTATTGGAACATTCAGTTCTCGTTCAAACCTAGGTGGTGAAAACATGCTAGGTTCTGGAGGTCCAATGAGTAGTGCGATGACAGAAAGTGCTAACTCTTTGTATCCTTTTGCGATTTATTGCTGCTATGTATGTCCTTCGAGATCGTCCAAGTGAATCTCGTGGATTGTTCTCCAATTTCCATTTAATTTTCTAGCAATAAAAAAGGAATATCGTTTGGACCCGTCATGTTGAGGACTCACAGCTACGATCAAGTTCAAAACTTCTCTTGAATTTGGATCACCTGAGACCTGAGATAGAAGCTCTCAGGAAAAAAGTATAAGATCCGTGCATGTGGCATAATACTCCACCGGCCGTAACAGGAACAAACTGAGGCTAGAGAAGTATGCAAACCAAGGCCTTCATCATAGATCCCTACAGCAGGACAAGCAAGTCCTACTGTGCTGGACGTCACTATTTTGAACAATGTCACAGATGCCTCCCAAATAGAAATGATTGAAGAAGGAAAGTTGATAATCGAGCCGAGCCATCGACAAGACAATTATCAGCGCTCCACCAGGTGGAGCAGATATAAGCGTAGATTTGCAGATAGAATAGGGTAGCATCCCGACGGTCCCTAGCTCTGAGCAGTTGAAACTGGCGGTTGAAACTTGGCAGTCTTGCATTCTGCGAACCAATGAGAAATGCGCAATAGCCAGGATAATACCGAGAAGGACAGTCGGAGAACTTCCTGGTGACTGGAAAGAGAAGGCGGAGGAAATAAGGAACACGAAGGACCGGAGGAACATAATAGCACTAAACCAGCGCAAGACTAAGGCAATCTCTTACAGAAGTCCGACGCAACCGATAGGACCAGGAGATCCAAAAATTCAACAATATTGATCACTATGCATTTTAATATTGCACGGGCTCTATTATATATTTTATTATTGATAGGTTCGCTATTCACCTTCATCCCCGCTGTTTGTCTAATAGAGATCCTTCAAGATTCTTTTCGAATAAAGTTTAAAAAATATTGGCGACAGCACGTATTCCTGTCTTACTCCTATTTTAATCCTAGTTGTTATAATTACCTAGAATAGAAGGCTACCAACATCCAGCAAGGTAGGACTAATTTCGAATAAAATATGACACAATTTTTTGTCTTATAATTTTCTGACACACTTTGATTAACAGGTTTTTTTGGTATACATTTTTAGGGTACCTATATATTAAAATAAACTAAACTATACATAACATCCATGTAAATATCTTAATAGGTTCTAACATTTTCTCCCCCCAGTAATCGTTTGCACTAGGAACTACTTTGGAACAACATAGTATACCCAATCTGGAAGCTGGACGTGGAAATATTATACCACTGCTACATTTCACGTCCACAATTCTGATCTTTTCATCTCTGACAGGATATATGTTAACATTTTTTTCCTTTTCTTCATAAGTTTCTGAATCCATTGGGGTCTACCATTAAAACAATATCATTCAACTTTATAGGTTTCTTTTCGTGACATCTTTTTCTGCTTTTAATTCAACTTGGCAGGTATTCTTTTAACCATCTGGTCCAAAATGGGTCGGTTTGTTTTTGGGCTGCTCGCCAATGCTTCATAAAGGCAAGTTCATTATCCCGTTTTCGTTTCGTGCAAGGCAGGGCCAATTAGAAAATAATTGGGGGTCTAAGCTTCAGAGTCATCACACATACATGAGTCAGAGGCCGAGAATTTTAAAAATTTTCAAAAATTGCATGAATTTTTTCTTCCAAATATAATTTTATTAGTTAAATATTGCTTTCAATGTTGACAGTCTGGTGACTAGCATTAAAAAAAAAAAAATCTGTTGAGAATAATAATAGCAATTATTAAATTATTACACTAGAAGACACGATTTTCGTTTAAATTGGAAGTACCGGTTTAGTACCAACATTTTCTGTTGGCTATTTGAAAAGAAGCTCTGCCTGTTGATTTTTGTCCTTTTCTTAGTCCCTCTTCTAATCTTACCGTTGCCCTGAAAGGTCGACTGTGGCCGGTGGGGGCAGCCGTCTTCCTAAGTAAAATATGCGCAAAAAAAATCGATTTTTTTGACTTGTTGGCTTTTTCTTTGGGTTTTTCCTTCCCTTTTTTTCTCTAAACCACCCCTGGAGTGAGGCGAATAAAATTTAAAAAAATATATTCAAATCAGTCGAGCCATTTGAGTTTTTGCTAGACTACCGCACGGCAATTGATTTTTATATACAGGGTGTTTGGTAGGTCGATGCATATATTTTGGGAGGTGATCGATTACCGTTCTCGTAGAAAAAGTACCCTATCGGCCGTCAGGCATTATTTAAACGAAATAAAGTTACGTAAGGCAATAATCCATTGATTGCCGAAAAATTTAAATAAAAAGTCTCTTTATTACCGTTTTATTTGAGTTTGAATTTCAAACCCCCTCGTGGTAAGTTCTTTTTAATTTTTTTAAGTAATGGTTGTTCATGGAATGCCTCTTTTACTTTTACCGGGGAGCTGTTTTTCTCAAGGGATCCAAACAAGCCCCATCTCTGGGCATAGAACTCTTGAGTCCCTCACATGTCGATACCTGAATCTGCAACTTCCATGTGCAACTTTCCTCGTCCAGTGACCAAAAAATGGATACCTACCGACTACCGTACTCTACCTTTTTGTTGGCATTGAGGCTTGTATAGAGTTTCAATTATAACTTCTATTACCTTTTTTATGAAATCTATTTCATGATCAATTAACAAAATTAATTGATTTTGTTTCTTCCTGATATGACATTTAAATATTTAAAATTTCAATTTCATTCATAAAAATTCTTAACACCGAGGTGATGATGGAATAAATAATTTTTGATTTACCGTATTTACTATAGCTTTTTTTTACCTAGGTAACTTTTAGTACCGCCATATTTAAATAATGTACTTATATTTCAATAATAATCTATCAGTAATCTGAACAGAAGTCATGGTTGGACAACATGCTCTAAATTCAAAATTATTGAGTAAGAACTGACACGTCGAAAATTGATCAATTTTTAACCCTGGGTCCTATAACTTATATATTTGAGGATTTCTATTATATCTCCTGACTCTCCTGACATTTACCTATCATTTAACCCAATTTTCGATATCATACAGGTGCAAGTTGATTTTATTTTCTGGCAGCAACTGTTAATGAATTTATATGGCAAGTATATTGAGGTATATATTATATTTTTGTTTGTTTTGAATTTGGTGGAACAGATAGAGAGTTAACCTCTATTTATTGATTTTAGTGTGTTTCACCAGCAACTGATGTTATATTTTGAAATTATTCAACACTTGATTTCTGACCTTAATGTGAAATATACGCTAATTTAATTTGAAACTTACTTAATTGTTTTATTAGTTTACCTATGTCAGGATTTCGTTGAGTTATGTGCCTTATTTATTTCC